TCGACGCAGGAGCAGTGCTACTCGGTATTAGGCCGGGGCGGTCCACCGACTGATGGAACTTTCTGCCGGAATTTTAAAGGCAGCCCTTGTAGTCTCTCGGTCGTACAGATTGTGATTAAAGCACGCAGGAGCACGTCGTACGCGTCGTGAGGCGGCCTGAGACAACGCTGGGCAGTAAGGCAGCGAGGCGTGTACACACACATTGCCAACGAATGCTCAGGGCAGTAATCAGTGCTGATGGGTCGGGGGCATGATGGGCCATAAGGACAGCCTCGATATGAAGGCGGGGCCAGAGAAGGCCCTCTCCGAGGCTGGACGAAAGCATAGAATACGTAATGAGCACAGAGCTGGACATGCTTGTCTACGACGAACGACGTCTGAGGCCTGGGCACTCAGAACGAGAGTATTTGAGGCTCCCGTATAAGAAAAATTCCTAAAATTTGTATTGTTTGGTGGTGCGCAGTCCGAGTCAAGGACCAGTGCAGAGGATTATGTCTAGCTATCACGCAAACTGGGTGCCGTCATCTGTACTAATAGCAGCATAAAAAAACTCCGATGGCAGGGACGGACAAAAGTCGAAGTTTAGGTCGTTATACTGCTAGAGGAGACCTCAAGAGCGATAATACCATGTGCTCGTATGGGATCGGAAGAGCGTACTCGGATGGATTTCTCCTTGAGCCCCCAAGGTAGTAGGAACTGAAGGCGACTCGGAGGCCGGGGGCCCACGGACGAGACCTGGAGTTACCTCGTGTAGCGCACTCATCACGCAAGTTCCTGCCGATGTGCACGCTTGGACACTGCCACGCGATGTACTTAGGATGGCCATCGGTACAAAGGACCGGGCTAGATGTGCTGACTGGGGACATGAGACCGCGTAATACGCGCCCTAGGAGCGTTGGGACGCCGCACCTACGAGAGAGCGACGGAGGCCGGCTTCTGGAAGGACGCACTGGTCGGTGAAAGGCTAAGACGGGAGACTGCAAAGAACCGATGGCCACCTAATCTTGTCTTATCTATATAGAGAGGCGTGCCAATTGAAAGAGCAGGAGAGGCGGGTTGTAATGGCGACTAGATCGGACGCGTTTCGGGCCTAGGACTGGGCCTAAAGCGGACAGCGACTTTTTTAGAAGCAGAGCAGCGTGAGGCACTCAGACAGGGCAGAGTCTGGTTCATTTAGCAGACGGGTAAGACTCGAAGGCGGCTCGGAGCCAACCCAGAGGCCTATGAGAAGGATCCAGCGGCGGCACCTCGGGCCCGTTCTCCGGCTCTAGTCATGGCGAAGGCTCTGAGGCGGCAGCAGGCGAAGGCTGGACGGGCGGCTCGGGCCCCCCAGCAGACGTGGCTTGAGGCTGGACGGGCTCCTCGGGCCCTCCAGCTGGGAGAGACAGCCGACGCAGAAGGCAGTCGGAGGCGGAGAGAAAACTCACGCCGTTCCTAGCAGGCTGAGAAACGGCCTGTGCAGCCGACGTGGAAGGAAGCTGAACGGGCCCCTCGGGCCCTCCAGCTGACGTGGATGGGGACCGAAGCAGAAGGCAGTCTGAGGCGGAGAGAAGACTCACGCCGTTCCCAGCAGGCTGAGACGCGGCCTGTACAGCCGACGTGCGGTCCCCTCTCGCTGTCTCACGGGCCTGGGCTTCAGGAGCTACTGGGACCTGAGCTGTGACGGGTGGCTCTGGGACCTGAGCTGTGACGGAGTGCAGAATTATTAGCAATGGAGTATTTGTCCACCAATTCATCCTCTTCATGCATTTGTCCTTATGGTGCTCACTCCGCGAGAAGCGATGTATATGGATCCGCCTAAGATGCACCGGACGCTGTGACCAATTAAGCAATTAGGTGATCGTTCTCGAGGTAACCCTCTGTAATGAGAAAGAGTGTGGATCGGGGTGGGATCTTCATGAGGACCCATGAGACTGCTGACCGGGTGCGCTAATACACTGTGCGAAAGCCGAGCTTTGGGTGGCACGAGTTGAGAATTCTATCTGGGACCACCGTCTTTCGATGTCTCTGTCAGTAGACGCGCGTGGCGTGCTGTAAACCAAGAGAGAGGAGCTCTTGGAGCTTAGGAGCGGGTCGCCGTTCAGCTAATCGTTAGAGAGACTATCGGAGCTGTGAATCCTTTGGTGGTGGCCAGAGGGAATGCACTCGGGCAAGAGCTCTAGAGAGAGCTGGAACGCCTCGATGGGGTGATATTCGATGGGTAGTACGCACATGGTAAGCTTATTCATTAAAATAGGTCAACTGGTGGTCGCAAGAACGCGAGGAGGTAGACGAGCCAGGCAGGCAGAATATACACTGGCTCCTCTTCATGATCTTAGGCAGCGAGGACACAGTCTCTTTCTTAAGGGAGGGTCGAATGATTTAGCGACAAATGTTGAGGGGAAAAGATGCCGATGCAGTGAATACCAGGTAGCGGAGCTACTGGAGGGTGGCTGCGAGGGAGCTAACTGAACAGAGGGTGGCTGCGAGGGAGCTAACTGAACAGAGGGTGGCTGCGAGGGAGCTAACTGAACAGAGGGTGGCTGCGAGGGAGCTAACTGAACTGACCTGGGAGGTGAAACACAAACAGGAAAAGGAGCAGGCTCAGGAACAACAGTCCGAGAAACGGCAGGCTCAGGGTCGACAAAAACGGCTCTATCGAAAATGAACCCGCCGTCCACTTCATGTCCAGTAGTGTTAGTATTGTCCGGTTTATGGCGGCGGGCGCGCCGCCTCCTACGAGCAGAGGAAGCCGGCGCGATGGGAGCTGATGGCACCGATGTAGAGGGTGCGTCTCTACGGTTATACAGTGGTGCCACGAGGAATGACCAGCCTGTTGATTCAGTCCGAGTCGTGAATATGTCGCCCGGCGGAAGCGCTGGGACCGATGCCGAAGTACTGGTTGTGCGTGACGAGCGAGGCATGGAAGCCGGCTCTAGAGATTGAGTAAAGATAGCCCTTGTGAGAGGCCCATTCTGTATTTGCACGGCGCCTGAGATGTAGTAGGGTGGACGATATGCTGGCAAGCGCTATCACACAAGTCTTCCTTCCCAGGCCACACCTCCCTTTGAGGCCAGGTTCCTTCAGTGAGGGAAAGGAAAAAGCACCATTGGCGCACAAATGTGGGGCCTTTTCGGGTTGAGGATGGAGTCAAGCTCAACTCCCAGTCCTACTGCCAGTTTCTGGAAGACACCTTCTTCAAGCAGTGGTACAGGAAGAAGTCTGCATCCTTCAAGAAAAACATGATTTTCATGCAGGACAATGCTCCATCACACACGTCCAAGTACTCCACAGCGTGGCTGGCAAGAAAGGGTATAAAAGAAGAAAAACTAATGACATGGCCTCCTTGTTCACCTGATCTGAACCCCATTGAGAACCTGTGGTCCATCATCAAATGTGAGATTTACAAGGAGGGAAAACAGTACACCTCTCTGAACAGTGTCTGGGAGGCTGTGGTTGCTGCTGCACGCAATGTTGATGGTGAACAGATCAAAACACTGACAGAATCCATGGATGGCAGGCTTTTGAGTGTCCTTGCAAAGAAAGGTGGCTATATTGGTCGCTGATTTGTTTTTGTTTTGTTTTTGAATGTCAGAAATGTATATTTGTGAATGTGGAGATGTTATATTGGTTTCACTGGTAAAAATAAATAATTGAAATGGGTATATATTTGTTTTTTGTTAAGTTGCCTAATAATTATGCACAGTAATAGTCACCTGCACACACAGATATCCCCCTAAAATAGCTAAAACTAAAAACAAACTAAAAACTACTTCCAAAAACATTCAGCTTTGATATTAATGAGTTTTTTGGGTTCATTGAGAACATGGTTGTTGTTCAATAATAAAATTATTCCTCAAAAATACAACTTGCCTAATAATTCTGCACTCCCTGTACAAAGGCACAAATTTTACTTTGAAGACAAACAGTCTCCTTTTCTGGTTTGTGTAACACTTGATGCCAGCAACCTAAAGCAACCACTCCCTAACCAGTTTCAGAATACACATTTATCACTAGCAAAAGTACTCACAAGGGTCGCTGACCTGCATGAACTGGGCGTTAGCAATCAATTTCATAGTAAATATACATTTTTCCTTCCAACTGGTGGCTGATAGATAATCTTAGACAGGTCTCTAGGTCTGTGCATCACAGGTCTAACATTACTACATTAGATGACAACTCTAACTTACAAGCATGACAATTGTAAGTTGCACTGCTAAGAGAAGACTCCAAACTGAGACATACGATTGTCTTTCAAGTGCAAAATGAGCCCAGCTTCTAATGACGTATTGCCAGCCAAGGTTAGTTTGCCTGGTTTTGTCTTCACCTGAACGCGTTGTGCCGACTCAGAGATGGCACATGAGTCTACATGATCCAGAAATCTCTTAGTGTGTGTGACATGTTGAGAGACAGATCATCTTAATCTCTTCCGAAATCTATTTCTCTTCCCTCCATCCCGCTACGCCCTCCTGTTCTGTTTCTCTCTGCAAATTTTAAACTTAAAATAGGAGAAGAGTTAAGGTGTCCGTCTAATTCAGTCGGGTCAGAGGTTTTGGAGAGATACATTCTGTATTCATTCAGACTTTGATGAATTTCCACTGAGGCAGCTGCGCCCAGCCAACAACCTGACAGGCAGAGAGAGTAGGGAGATGAAGAAGAGAGCAGCAGATAGATAGATGGCACTTCACATCTGCTGGAGGTTCAACAGAGTCAAGGGTCTCTCCTAAATCTAGTTGAGGAGGAACATCTTTCAGGCTTCAGGGACCACCCCACAAACCTCCCCCTCCTTTCAGATGAAACAAATGAGCTAAGCCGGGTGACAGTTTCAGAGAACATCTGAGACACATACTATTCATATTCATACAGAATTTTGGCAACTGCATCTCTCATTGCAAAGAAAAAAGTCATGTTTTTTTCTCTCTTAATCACCAACTGGCCAACTGGCAATGCATCGCTCTTTTTTATGTCCATCTCTGTATATTTCTCTTTCTCAGTGTCCCCTCTTTGCTCTTTTAATTATGGGTCTGTTTGTTATACAATTAGCCTGCTGGGATGGGCTTCATAAATAAAACCGAGGGAGCACATCAGTGAATCGTTCACCCCCACCCCCACAGCTCTTCTTCTATTGGTCTCTGTCCATCTGTGTATGTGTGTTGTGTGTTTGAGTGAACATGAATGGAGAGAGTCGAGCCATGTTGTAAAAGTGTCTCCACTAAGCCTGTCCAACCCCGTTCACCCCACTTTGTCACATAAGCGTGGAAATTTGCAGTCTTCACTATCACAACAGTCGTTTCCAAATATTACACGTCATCCGAGCCACATGTGAGTCGGTGAAAGGTGTGAACAGCTTGCATATTTGTTACAGTAAAGTTCAGACCAAATTTGTAAGCGACAGAAAGACATTTTTGTCCAGATGGCTGTGGTTATGCGAGCACACCTCATATGGAGACCTTAGCGCTCGGTACACAAAGCAGAACTTCAACTTGCAACAAAAAGATCGGTCTTAATTTAACCCACTCTAAATGATGGCTGGGCATGTGTCCATACAGATAAATGCTCCCAGTGCATGCCACCCTGTTGATCTGAGCAGGCCAATATGGACTGCACCACTAAAGGTCACTGATTTTAAAAGTTGTTGAATTTTTACTAAAAATCAAGTGGAAATTACACTTTTACACATTGCTTTTTGACTTTGCCGTGCAGTTGCTAAGTATCCAGCGGAAACACCAGAAAAAGAAAACCCATTAATTTGATTAAAGACGTTCATAAATGGATTTTATCACCTTCAGAATGACCCATCTTATCTCTTTTCTCTGTTCTCAGCTTGTAACCTGCAATCTGAATATTATTAGAGTTTAAATTAGGTCAATTTTCTTTTGTGTTCTTTTGTGTAATTTGCAATTTCAGTTGGATACCTTACAAAACACTAAAAATGTGCCACTATCTACTGTTTCTGCAACAGAATAAAATTTGTTATGGTGTCCTCTCTAAACCACATTTGCCAAGCTAGCGAGTGCCCCTTTAAAAACGAAAAGAACCAAATATCAATATTATCAGAGTAGCTTGTTAAGCTGAGCACATTTGTGATTGTTGTTCACAGAGATGCTAAACTTCAAAGTGACAACACATTAATTCAGGAGTGCACAAAAGAGAAGTAGCTCTGCTGTAGCCAGCACCACTTACCTTTACATGCACCTCCCCTCTCCTCATATCCGGGGTTACAGAGACATCCACCAATAGGAACCAACCACTCTCCATCAGCACCGCAGTACATTTTAGGTTCCTCTCTTTCTTCCGATTGGTTGACACAGGACCCCCGGACCTCCACTAAGGAGGACGTGTCGGCCCCGGTAATGGTGTCGGGAAATGTTGCCAGGTTACGAACGGTTAGCGGGCAGGTTTTGTAGAAAACTCTGACAGAAACCAAAGCAATGCAGGCGCCCACATCCTGAAAGGCTAGATAGAAGCCCTTCCGGGTCGTGACTTTTACATCTCGCACCTCTGTGTTCAGTTTCATGATGCGGTCTCCAACATCCACCTGAATTGAGAGAAAACAGCATTGCATTAATAAACAGTGCAGTAAACCGTGTCACCCCTTATTAATTCAATTTGCTTGTTCAACTTAAAGTGGGCGTTTCAATTGAACCGCCGCTGATCTCCACATCTTCAGCACTTGGCTCCGATTCAGAATAACTTTTATTGATTGCTAAGGCAAAACAAGCTTTACGGCCTGCAAGATTAGAATGTAAGTTACTTTAGCAAAGACTGAGCAAAAGCACCTTGCCAACATTCCCGGGACAGCAAAACAGACATCTAAGATAAAAGTGCTTGTAAAACAAATAAAAACATTACAGCTAAGTGCTTTTGGGGGGGTTTATTTTCCACATAGGAGCAAATTACACTGAGTGGCGGAGGGAACTCAAAGCCTGACTCAGTTGTTCGGTGTTACCTGGGTGAAGCTTTCGTCTGCTGCCACCGTATCCACCTTAATGAAGCTGCTCTCTTTGATGTAGCTCTCTCTGTCTTCGTTTGACTCATGGTAGTACAGATTGAATGTCTCCTACAAGACAAAAGGGGAATTTAAAAAAAAGGGACAGACTGAGGCACCTATTTATCGTCAGCACCAGCACTCATCTTTTCTCTTAATATGATAATGAGTCAAAGTGGGGTTTGTGCTTGAATAAACAGCAGCTGTAATATAAAATAAAGGTCCATTAGCGGCAGTCTGTCCATTAAGTAATTATCATGAGAGTTAACATATTAAAAAAAGGTCAGACCCTTTATCAGAATTCTTTGCTGTTTTGTTAAAACTTTTTACCGCAGTCAGGCCATACATTCACCAGCACGCTACACATCCTGAGCACGCTTTCACGTACCTTACAGGTGCCGGTGACCCCTGGGAGGCTGTTACAGTCTCTCAGGGTGAACTTGACTTCGACGTAGACCCGCTGAGCTCCAGACCGAGGGATCCAGTCTGTCCTGAGCCAGTTGTTTTGATTGGGCTCCAGGACATTGCACACCTGGTACGTCCTGATGGGGATGTTTTTCTCATCCATAATGCTCACCTCTTCCCACTTCAAACAAGCACATTTGTATAACTGCGTTAGTTAGAGCAATGATTGTGCATGTAAGACATATGTTGCTGCCTATAGGCGTTAGACTACATTCGAAAAATGCATTTAGTTCAGGCCAACATCACGAAGACCAACTTTGAAGTGACTGGAATTGAACTGAAGCAGATATTCCATCAAAGTTGCCTTGATGAATGACTTGATATTAATGAAATGTAACTGTCATGTGGAGAACAGCTTTCCCAAACTTCTCTTAATTCAAGATAGTCTGATTTTTTTAAAATTAAAAAAGTCATTTGCCAAGCAGCAGTCATTTAAAAAGGCTGCTGGCACTCAAATTTCAGATGACACGCCAGTTTAATTTCCCACAATGCACCAACAGAGAAGGGTTTTCAAAACCCTTCCATGCTGGCAGCTGCAGACTGTTATATAATTTTGACAAAAGCATCTAAATAGCCGCTGTGATGGCAGCAATGTTAAAGTGTCTGAAAGTTGATTTTCATACTGTGCTGGCGTGAACTGAAAATGACTGCATACGCCGCATAAAGTTGAACTCTTCAGCGTAGGCACAAGCTTTAAACACACACATAAGCAGCGGTGGCTGGCAAAAAAGTGCACACTGTGAAAAACTTAGGTTGCCTGTTCACTGGGGGGTACTTCTAGTCATCATATATACAAAATAAATTTCAGATGCCGGTGTCCACCCTCTGATTCACCGCTGCTGCGTGAAGCCTCACGGGCTAATGCTCATTCTTGCATCAATATTCTGCAGTGGACGGTGGTTCAGATTTGTTGCGACTCCAAGGTTTTTGCAGGCACATTTCCATACGAGTGAAGCAGGCTCAACCTTCACCGCACCATCCATCTCAATAGAGCCGATTATTTGCCTTGTACTGTGACCCTTCAAATGACCGCTGAGCCTCCCAAGTCCAAATTGGCTTTTTATTGCCACTGAATAATAATCTGCTCTCTCCCTGCTAGTGAGAGCTGTATACACACTAAATGCACCGTGTCCAAAAAGAGAAAAAGAGAGCGAGAGGAATGACAGAAGAATGCGTGTGTGTGTGCTTGAAGGACATGCTTGTGTGTCAGTGTGTGTCTTTAGACTGATCGATATGCCATCAGAGTCGATTTCGTTGTCTAATGTGGGCTTATTGCCTATATGCTATCAGCTAATAATAATATTATGTATATGTTGGGTGATTTGTAAGCGGTGCAGTAAATATGTTAGTCTTTACAGTTTTATGTACATTTTAAGCCCATTCTTTATTGATTTAATACTCAAAATGTATCAGCACTGCTATTGGCCTGGAATATCTAATCGAGACTGATCTTTTGTAAGCCACGCATTTCTTTATGTACAGTGTGTTAAAATGTGTGTGAGTGTGAGGGTGTGCACATGCCCACATAGTGTCAGCGTTTGTGTGCTGTTGTAGTGTCTTTGCGGGTTGAGGAAGTTAGCTGTATAAAAGCTGACATGGGGTATGATGTCTCTGTGTCTAGTCTCCTTCAGAGTTTTTGTCAGCCTACGCAGCTGTCAAGGGAGAAGGAAAAAAACATACAGAAATGGAGTTTTGTATGTATGTGTGTAGCTATGGGGTGAGGAAGGTGGGGGGAGTGCCTGTAATCAAAAGCTCAGTGCGTGCAGACCAGGACCCTGTCAATCAAGCAGCATGTGAGAGTATAAGGGCAATGGCAAGTGAAGAAATAACAGGCAAGTTCACCACTAACTCTTAAACCAACAAAAGAGGTAAGAGAGACACTGAACGACAAAGAAGAGAGAGAGAGAGAGAGAGAGAGAGAGAGAGAGAGAGAGATAGAGATAGAGAGAAAGAGAGGAAGAACTATGGATGGCAGATCACGACAATGACAATAAAACACAAAGAGAAGATCAAATCTGAAACAGATATCACCAGGATTCATTCTGGCAACTGTACGGTAGTAAAAATTCCTAAAAAATGACACCCACCACCAAGCTGGTTTATGCCTTTACTTGTGCCAAACGCAATGGCAGCAGTCTCATATTAGCACTTAGGCTTGGTGAACAACAGCACATTTCAAAATCTGTGGGATGATTATTTACAGTTTCCAGACCGAGCGTGTGCATGTGCGCGTGTGAGGAACGAGAGAGGGTGTGTGAGTGTGTTTTCCAAAGAGAGAACAGGTTGTAAACAGTGTATTCATAAAGAAAAAAAAGAAAAAAAGAAAAAAGAACAGGCAGATCCCACTCACCCCTCCCTCTGCAGGACTGGCTGCCCATTTCAGCTCTCCTGGCACTGTCCTGGTATCCAGCAGGGTCACTAAAATTGCATACACACACACATGCAGGTGTACTCAGGACAACCAGTCTGGAATATTTTTTTTTTAAATTGCTCTTAAGCAGAGAAAATTAATTTGACAGACTTCTCACAAGAAGTAAGTGATGTTTAAGCTGTGAACAGTTATGGAAGTAAAAGCAGGCGTCCATTGGCACTGTTAGGTTTAAAAATTTTATCTTATTT